TTCCCCCCGGAGCAGGGGGTAGCTCAGGAAAGGAGGGGAAGGCATGGTGGAGGAGGGTATGAGACATGAGGCGAGGAGCAGTCAGTGGGAAGGAGTGTTCGCCCCACTCCTTTGACTTTGGACTGCCGACGCAGGCTGTTGGCCCCAACCCGTGTGTTTCTGCAACTGCCCCGGTGCTGACCATCCTTCTGCTCCTGCGGATTGAGCAGCCATGTCAGCAGTGGACGGGGGAGCGAGCAGGGTGTGAGGGTGAATGGGGAGGAGTAATGGCAGGTGCAGGCAACTGGATCCAGTTGCCAAGGTTTCAGTTGCCCCTGCTGTCACTGCTGCGTCAGCGGCAGCTACAGCATCGGGAACATTGGGTTTGTGATGGGGAACATGGGCTGAACCTCTGGTGCCCCTGCATATGACATGCAGGTGAGGGCGGGGTCAAGTGTGGGGCGGGCGGATAAGTCCATTGCCGGCTGTTTGATGTGAATCTTAGTTTGATGTGCACTGCTACCGCTCATTTCAAACCTCGCGTCACCACTTCCCTTTTCAATATGTGATCAGGTAGCACTGAAGCAGCAACAGGAGGTGCAGGCGAGGCTCGATGAGGAAGCGAGGCGGAGGGAGAGGGAGGAGGAGTTGGCGAGGCTGCTGCGGCAGATGGTGCAAGCGGGCTCGACTCATCTCAAGTTTTGTCCCATCGTTCACGCCTCTCAGGTACTGTGCGCGTCCCGTCGCATGCCTTGGGACTTGCCTAGACAACCGTTTTCACGCCACTTGGATGACTAAGGGCACTCTCTCCAGGCTTTGCTTGAGCTCACCCTGATATGTGCCTTCTTTTTCCCCTTCCTCGTCCCTTTCTCAGCCCCGACCCCCCCACTCCTCTCACCGGCAGGTCCACCAAGCAGCACACAATGCATCGCTCCCCTCTGCTGCACACCAACGCCAGGCACGCAACAGCAGCCGGCAACTTGTGCGGCAGCTCCCTGCGTATTTATTACTATGCATTTGTGATTCAAGAAGCATGCATACACTCCCAAATTTAGTACATTTTTGGCACTTCAGGGCCAAAATCAAGCTCGTAGCCTCACAACATGTTTTATAAAACGAGTCCTTACAATTGTATCACTAAATACATAACCTTTATCACCCAACCCTGGATTCCTCGATACCAATCACGTGACTAGTCATATGCCCTTGCACGAATGCAGGGAATGGAAGGGAATGGCAGGGTATGGAAGGAAAGGTATGGCAGAGTATGGCAAGGTATGGCAGAATGAGGGACGGGCTTGGCTGGCGTATGGAAGGGTATGGGAGGAGATGGAAGGGTGTGGCAGTGTATGGCAGCGGATGGATGAGTATGGCATGCGACCATCCAAGGGTACGGTAGGGGTTAGAAGCGTATGAGAGGGGAAGAGGGGGAAAATGAGAGGAGATGGGGGGAAATGAGCGGGGGGGAAACGAGATGGAGAAGGGGGGGGAATGAGAAGGAGCACGTGGGGAAAGGAGAGGGAGATGGGGGGAAACGAGAGGGGAAGGTGGGGGGGATGAGGGGAAATGAGAGGGAGATTACGTGGCATTTAACTGAGTGGTTAAGGGGGGAATGAGAGGGAGCAGGGGGGAGAATGAGAGGGATAAGGGGGGGAAATGAGAGGAAGAAGGGGGGTACATGAGCGAGAGAAGGGGGGACATGACAGGGAGCAGAGGGGGGAATGAGAGGGAGAAAGGGGGGGAATGAGGGGCTTCATGGGGGGAATGAGAGGGAGAAGGGGGAGATATAAGAGGGGGAAGGGGAAGAAATGAGAGGGAGAATGGGGGTAAATGAGGGGGAGAAGGGGGGGACATGAGAGAGAGAAGGTGGGGACATGACAGGGAGCAGGGGGGGAGATGAGAGGGAGAAAGGGGGGGATGAGGGGCTTCATGGGGGGAATGAGAGGGAGAAGGGGGGGGGGAATGAGGGAGAGCATGGGGGGAAAATGGGGTAATCGGGAGGCGGGAAGGGATAATCGGGAGTGGGAAGGGGAAGCGGGGAGGCGGGAAGGGGAAACGGGGAGGCGGGGAAGGGGTAATGGGGAAGCGGGAAGGGGTAACGGGGAGGAGGGAAGGGGTAATGGGGAGCGGGAAGGGGAATTGGGGAGGCGGGAAGGGGTAATGGGGAGTGGGAAGGGGAAACGGGGAGGCGGGAAGGGATAATGGGGAGCGGGAAGAGGAAATGGGGTGGCGGGAAGGGGAATTGGGGAGAACGGAGAGGTGCGAAGGGGTAATGGGGAGCGAGAAGGGAAAACGGGGAGGCGGGAAGGGGAAACGGGGAGGCGGGAAGGGGTAACGGGGAGGCGGGAAGGGGAAACGGGGAGGCGGGAAGGGGTAATGGGGAGCGGGAAGGGGAAACGGGGAGGCGGGAAGGGGTAATGGGGAGCGGGAAGAGGAAATGGGGTGGCGGGAAGGGGAAACGGGGAGGCGCGAAGGGGTAATGGGGAGCGGGAAGGGAAAACGGGGAGGCGGGAAGAGGTAATGGGGAGCAGTTGTTTCTGATTACCCTCGCGACCTCAATTGCGGCTGCCGCCGCTACTGCGGAAACGTGGTAGCGAGGCCGCGCGATTGGGAAGCGACTGTGATCGTGCGTGTTCGGCAGTTTGAGACGCTGCGTGCGCGTTCACGGTGGCGTGAAGAGGCCGCGTGGTGAGGCGACGCGACGGACGACGAGGCGAGGCTGTGAGAAGGGGTCCGGCGGGCTCGCCGTGTTAGAGGGCGAACTGACGAGTGCTCGGACGTGTAATTACACTAAACTGCCCCACGCGTCTAAGTTTGTGTCGGAAACGGGAGTGATTTGCGCTGGCTGTTGTCGCGATGTGCTTTGCTACGATTTATGCTGCCTGTTGAGCGTAGTGGCGTAGATCTCACATAGACTGGATTTCGTATACTTTTGTTATTCCAAAAATTTTGAATCACCAGTGAGCCCTGGGTGTCGGGGAGATCACCTCCCTTGTGAAGCGAGTGAAACTAGCTGTTGCTGGGTTACCAATCTTTCAGATTTCAAAACTTTTGAACCTCCCTTTTTCAAATGTATACGAAAGCTTTAAAGGGGGTTCAAAGTACTGCACCAGCTCGACGTCGAGGAACGTTGGTGAATTTTGACCGTCGGACAAAACATTCCAACCGTCAGGATTCACCAACGTTCTCGACGTCGAGTTTTTGCAGCACTTTGTACACGCCTTTACTGCTTGTTCTCGTAGTTTAGGCTTTGCGACAGTCATCTCAAATGCTAGTTCTGTTTTTTTAGGACTCGTACCAGTTTCATCCAGATGTTATTAAGTTTAGCCCGTATGCAAACATCCCTCAAATTTTGGCAACAACAAACACCTGGTTGTCTGTTAGCACTCCGCACCAGGTTCCCTGACACGAGCTTTTCCATGAGTGTACAGTACAGTGTTGTACGAGAGGTTTGTGGTTGTGGATGCAGTTCAAGCCGAAGTGCATCGGCTAAACTTCGTTTGTAGGCAGAAGATCATAGAGTCTGACCGAAGTGCCTCGGCACCAAAATAACCCGATTAAGGTACATGGAAGTGGAATAGTGGAATAACTTGGGGTCCTCATCTTGCTAGCTAGGGTTGTTTCATTTTCGATATAGGCCTGTGTGATTCCGCCCTTCCAAATATTGGGTTTGCCCACTTCGTAGTCAGTGCGGCATTGCTTGCTGTTGCACTGTGGCGTCTGACTGGAAGTGTTGTGACAGGGCTCTTGACTCGTCACTCCAGCCCTCAGGTTTCGTCTTGGAGAGGCCGAGTCACAGATGGCGAATCAGGGTACTAATCAAACATCTTATGAATTTAGTGGAACAATATCATGCGATTTATGAAAGGCACGTTATTGATTTGAAAGGTTCTGAAAGATTTAAGAGCGAGGTCTGGCCTAGCGACCGCACAATGCAACACTTTCTTTGAACTACCGTATACAGCGCTCTCTTTGGTGGCGCGGGTTGGGGGTGAGGGATGGAGAGAGAGTGGAGGGAAGAAAGGACTCGAGTGGAGGAGACGGCCAGGACGGGTTTGCAACATCGCTAAGGGCGTGGGCCCAATCGAGTTTGATCGCCTCGATCACATGCTTTCAACAATTTCTAGGAAGCCTGGAAGCCAATTTTATGCAATCAGGGGCAATCAGCTGATCGCGATCAACTGATCGCCCCAACTCAATCCGACCCGATTTTCACCCCGATCAAAGTCGCTTTTCCTCGATCACAGGCGATCACCTGATTGCATGTGATCGGGGCCCACAGCGACGCTTGCGAGTAGTTACACTGTTAAAATTACAGGGATACGAAAACTTTTTCCAGGTGACATATGGTCGCCAATCTCGCTAGAATGGGGACGAAAATGCGACATAAATGTATAGCGCTTGCCCCGCAGGCGTTGGAAATCTTTTTCGAAAAACATATCTGATCGGGCGGCTCGGGCACTGCGATCACAAGCAACCCGATCAGATCCGACCCGATCAGATCAATCGCGATCAAACTCGATTGGGCCCACACCCTAACTGTTTTCTGTTCCCTCCCATGAGAGGTGGTATTCGACTGAATCCTCCTTTGTACTACACAGGCAGCAGTACACAGTTCGGAGGGGGCTGTTTACGTAAAAGGTATAAGCTTTCTAGATGCCTACGATTGAAATACGGATCCAGAAGCCATCACGCTGTTGAAAGGAAGGGCAACTACTCCAACACAAACAGGGTCGATGGTGTTGAGGGTTTGACTGGCTTATCGTGGCGGGGCCTGGACGAAGGCAACGCAACGCACCCAAGTGAAAGCAACCGCATTCACGATTGAGCCAAGTGAAACGCATCTCACCCTTCCGTTCTGCACTTCAGTGCAAGAAGCTCCCAGACTTCTCTGCCTGGAGTGAGTAGACCTCGAGAAGCGTTGATACGGAAGTTGACGTTCTCCTGATAAAAACTGTTGGCCTTGCTCTTGAGGAAATTCATACACCATTCGTCTCTCGCGTAGTCTCCTCGCCGCAACAATGGCTCATTATCACAGCATGCTAGTACTACTCCTTTCCCTCTTCTTCCTCTCGCCGTTCCAGCGCCTTGCCGACGCAGCCACAGCCCCCCAACCAGCGCGGTTCGAGCAGGCCATGGCGGAGACCCTTGCAATGAGCGCCGAGGCCAAGGTGCAACTCCACGCGAGGGCGCTCCGCGACGCCATGCTCGACGACCCGTCGCTCGACGACGACGGCGAAGACGAGGGTGACGACGAGGGTGCGCGACGGCAGCTGAAGGGCGGCATGAAGGGGCGTGACGTGGGGCTGACGCCGCCGGCGCTGAACTCGGGGCCGAGCATGGCGGACGTCAACGGCACCTTCTACCGCTGGGACTCCGTGTCGCCCAAGGCGTTCGTCGACTGGCGCCAGACCCGATACATCTCGCCCATTCAGCGCCAATTTGAGGTGCACCTCGTAACCAACCGCCGCATTTGAATGACGTTTGTGATTTAGCGAGCGAGCGTGTCGAACCTGCCACAGAGAAACGAGTTGCGATGCTCGTGACCGTAGGCTCGTCTTCGCGCTTCAATTCAGGTGGCTCGCGCGTCTTCGCTGCCCTCCTTTTCCCGTCGTTTTCTGCTCGTCTCCCCATGGCAGTGCGCGAGCTGCTGGGCGATCGCAGCCGTCGATTCCATCTCCATGATGTGGGCCATCACCACCAAAACAGATCCCATCGCTCTGTCGCCGCAGCAGGTGCGTGCGACGACAGCGATAACGGCGGTGCCGCTGCTTCCTTTTTCATCGCGCCCGTGCTTGCTTGTAATTTCGCTGCCGCCAAGCTCGGACTCCTCGCTGTCGGCTTAACCTCGTTTCGTCTTTTCTCGTCGCGCGCGTCGCAGGTGTGCGACTGTGCGACGAAGCAGTGCTGCAACGGCGGGTGGGCGGACTGGGCGTTTTCGTACGTGTTGTTCAACGGGGGCATCCAGGCGGAGGAGGACTACGCGTACCAGGCGCAGGACAGCACCGTCTGCAGCCTCAACGTCTCCGCGCCCACCGCCGCCAAGGTACGCCCTTGCGCTCCGCTCCGCTCGCTGTTGCGGAGCACCGTATACTGTCGGCCCGCGTCGTTGCCCGTTGCTTAGCATCACTCGCTTGTAGCTCGCAGTGCGATGCGCAGGAGTGGCGCACGTCCGCTGCAGTAGGCGTGTGTTGCGGATCAACACACTCACTGCGCGCACGTCCTTTCCCCTTCCACAACCCCCCCGTCTCCCTCCCCTCTTCCCGCCGCAGATCACGGGGTGGGAGCTGGTGCCGGCGTACAGCGCGCTGGCGCTGATGAAGGCCGTCAGCATGCAGCCCGTCGTCGCCTTCCTCAGCGGCTCGGAGCGCGACTTCCAGAACTACACGTCGCGCAACCGCCTGCGCATCTACGGCTCGCCCGAGCTGCCGGGGCTGTGCACGACGAACGTGAACCACGTGGTCGTCGTGGTCGGATACAACTACACGGGGCCGGGCCTCGCGGGCAGCTATTGGATCATCAAGAACACGTGGTTCAGCACGTGGGGCGACGGCGGCTACATGTACCTCGCCATGACGCCCGACGTGCGCGGGAAATGCGGCATCCACGCGTATGTGGCTTTTAGAAGCGTTACGCATGCACAGAATTCCCTTTTCTCCATCCTAGTACCGCCTCAATATCTCCCCCTCTCACACTCTCTCGCTCTCTCTCACTCTTTCTCGCTCGCTCTCACTCCCTTATTCTCGTCTATTCTTTCTCACTTTCTCACTCAACGGCCACCCTCCCCTCCCTCTCCCCCTCCCCCTTTTCCCCCCAGGCTGCCCGCCATGTACCCGGTGTACTACCCGTTCGGCCCGCAGCCGGTGCGGTTCAGCGACAAGCAGCGCGACGACAGCGACGGCCGCTGGTGGACCAAGCCGCTGCCCGTCACCTCCGACGCCTGCCAGCTGCTCATCAACCCGTGCGGCGCGGGCGAGTGCTACACGCGCAACAACGTGGCGCGGTGCGACTGCAGCGGGCCGGAGGGCATGGTGGAGGTGCTGGGCGTGCCCACCAGCAAGTGCGTCTCGCGCTCCCCCTGCAACTCCACCAACGTCAACCCCTGCGGCGCCGGCACGTGTAACAACACCGGCAACGGCGCCTACACCTGCCAGTGCCCCGCTGTGAGTGCGCCCCCTTGTGCCCCGCTGTGAGTGCGCCTGCCCCACTTGCATCTGTCACTGCCCGTCCTCGCCTCTCCTCGCCGCCCTGCTCTCTGCCTGTCATCCCGCCTGCTCATTCTCATGCGTATACAAAGTTGCCTGTTCCCCCCACCTTCCCCCTCGCAGGGCTACGCCATCGGCGCGGAGACGGACGGGTCGCTGACGTGTGTGGGCGTGGCGGGCGGCAACACGTCATCCCTCACCTACACCACTGTGCCAGGGGACACGTGCTCTGTGAGTGCCACGTGTGCTGCGAGTGCAACGTGCTCTGTGAGTGCCACGTGTGCTGTGAGTGCCACGTGTGCTGTGAGTGCAACGTGTGCTGTGCTGTGAGTGCCCCGTGTGCTGTGCTGTGAGTGCCCCGTGTGCTGTGCTGTGAGTGCCCCGTGTGCTGTGCTGTGAGTGCCCCGTGTGCTGTGCTGCGAGTGCCCCGTGTGCTGTGCTGTGAGTGCCCCGTGTGCTGTGCTGTGAGTGCCCCGTGTGCTGTGCTGTGAGTGCCCCGTGTGCTGTGCTGTGAGTGCCCCGTGTGCTGTGCTGTGAGTGCCCCGTGTGCTGTGCTGTGAGTGCCCCGTGTGCTGTGCTGTGAGTGCCCCGTGTGCTGTGCTGTGAGTGCCCCGTGTGCTCTCTTGCCAGCTCGCTCGTGCACTCTCGTTGCCCTCTTCAACACCGCCACTGTCAGCCGTGCCGCGGCTCGCGTGCCTCAATCGCCTCCCCATCACATTCTCATCTTGTGTCATCCCTGCCCCCCTTCCCCTCTCCCTCCATTCCTCTCCCTGGCACAGGGCATAGCAGCGGGGTACAACAGCAGTGTGGCGGTGCTGGCGGCGCTGAACCCGTTCCTCAACTGCTCGCAGAGCTACATCCCGCCCGGCTTCGTGCTCTCGCTCTCCAACGCCCCCGCGCCGTCCACCATCGTGTGCACGGCCACCTACATGGTGCGCGCCAACGACACGTGCGCCTCGCTCAACGCCACACTCTTCAACGGCAGCGACGCCGCCTTCCGCCAGGCCAACCCGCTGCTCTGCACGACCGACCGCCCCTCGCTGCTGCCCTCGCAGCAGGTGTGCGCCGCTGCCGCGCCGCTGTCCGCGGCGAATGCGACGGTGGCGCAGTGCGGGCAGACGTACGTGTCAGTGGTGGGTGACACGTGCAGCTCCGTGGCCTCCAAGTACTCCCTCGACCTCCCCACCTTCAAGTCGTGAGTGCTCTCACCCGCTCCTCTGCCCTCACCCGCTCCTCTGCCCTCACCCGCTCCTCTGCTCTCACCCGCTCCTCTGCCCTCACCCGCTCCTCTGCCCTCACCTGCTCCTCTGCCCTCACCCGCTCCTCTCATCGCCGTGCCAAGCAATGCTAGTTCACACTACGTGCACGGCAAAGTGGATTCTTCTGCGCTGCAATCCCTGACCATCACACCCAACCCAAGCTCTTGCCGTGCCTCTGCGTGTGGCCCGCCAGGCTCAATCCGGCGCTGGACTGCAGCCGGGGCGACATCGACGCGGGCACGTACCTCTGTGTGGCCGCCAAGTCTGACAAGGTCCGTGCCTGCTGCCTCGCCTCCGCAACCCTGCTGTCCGTGCGCATGCATTTGCCAGTGCCCGTCCCCATGCTGGTGCTGCTTCTTGTGCTGCCTCTATTGCTGCTGCCTGCTGGTGTTGCAGGTTCCGCTACTTCTGCTGCTTCTGCTGGTTCTCTGCCTGTCCTCTTTCGCTGCCCCATTCCTTGACAAATGCCATTCTTCTTGATCGGACCCCTCACGGCCTGCTCTCCGCTCCCCCCTGCCCTTGCTGAGCTGCACCGCACCCACGGGTAGCCACACACAGCACGGCTGTACAGCTCTACCTCACCGCCTTGCCCCTGCTGCTCCTCTGCCCCATCTCCTTCCCATGCCAGACTACGGTGCTGCAGGGCTGCTGTCTCACTGCCATCCACCCCCTTGCTTCCTCCCTCCCCATCCCCCTCCTCCCCCTGTGTGCGGCAGACGGTGGTGAACTGCACGGCGTGGTACACGGTGCTGCAGGGGGACAACTGCCCCAACATCTGGAACGCCGCCAACCTCACCGAGTCCACCTTCCTCGCCATCAACCCCGGCATCCGGGTAAGCCACCGCAACCCCGGTTGGTTCACCGCCGTGTGCCATGCCATCGCTGTGCCTCATGTCATGTCATGCGCTTCCTCTGCCTCCCGCTCCTCCCCACCATCTTTCCTGACACCCGGCTTGCTTGCCTGCCCCTTTCCCCTCGCCTGTGTCACAGTGCCAGTCGCCGTACCTGCAGGTGGGGCAGAAGGTGTGCATCAACTCGCCCATCCTGCCATCGCTCATCGCCTCCACCAACTCCTCCTTCTCGCTCTACACCGTGAAACTCGGCGACACACTCGCCCTCATCTCCTCGCGCTACATCAACCGCTGCATGCCCACGTCGGTGTCACCCGCGGCCATAGCAGCGTACAACAACATCCTCGAAACCGCGGTGCTGCTCGTCAACTCCACGCTCATCATCCCCTGCAACGTGCGCGTGGGTGCCATCGACTGCGGGTGTGCGACGTCGCTGCCGGTGTGCGGGTCGGACTACGTGACGTACCCGTCGTACTGCGACGCCGTCTGCAACTACGCCACGCCTGTGCTCGTCTCCGACATCTGCACCGGCTGCAACGCCGCCTGCATGGGCCGCGCTGGCTCCGCGCCTGCCAACGGCTCCGGGTGCACCCAGGCCATCTGCCCCTATCCCACGTGGCCGCCGCCCAGCACCGACTGCACGCAGCTGCTGGGGGACGGGGTGGGCAAGTGCTGCTTGTACGTGAAGACGACGTGTGAGAACGTGTGCCAGGACTTCAAGCTCGCCATGGGGGGCACGTCCACCGTGCAGGCCACCAACTACAAGAACTGCTACAACGCCTGTACCTGCTGCAAGCGCATCCCGTGTGGGTTCAACTGCACCGCGCCGTCGTCATGCTGGGATGAGAGCCCCCGCCGCTGCTCCTACTCCCTCTCCACTGGCTACACGTGGCAGTGCGTCAACTGGCCCGCCGCCTCCCCCCTGCCCTGACCCCCTCCTGCCTGCCTTCATCTGACTCTGTGCCTCACAGGATTGCCAGGGATGGGAAGAGCTGGGGCAGGGATTCTTCAAAAATATGTTCTCCTTTCAGAGTTCTACTAGGGCCAGATCGAATGCTTTCTCCGTTTTGCCTATTGATTTATTTGTTGAACTTATAATACTACTAAGAGTCTGCTACTAACTTGTTTACAAATGTTTTGTTGTACAGTACATGTGCTGGAAGTATCCAACATACCAGTAGAGTTCTCACCATCCTCAAGTTGGCAAAGCTCAAACTCAAATAGCTTTGCACCATGGTGACGCATCTTTCACTTGTATCCTACCGTGTAGAACCTCTCTAAAAGTTCTAAATTGAGAAAGTTTGCTATATGCTTCGTCTTCATTGCTTATGGGTCAAGTACAGCAGTATACATTACAACATTGCGAAGATCTGGTAAGGTGGGGTGGGGTGGGGGGAATCTGAACTTGAAAGTTCGAAAATGAAAACGTGGGTGAGGCCAAATGGCCGAAACCCCTTCTTTTATAGTCGGAGAAGGGCAAATAGCGCTTCGCCGACACCTTTTGATGCTTCGTACAAGCTGCTTCGCTGTCAAAATAGGTAATTTTAGTACGGTAAGTATAACACTTTCGAAAATATACATATTGAGAAAGCTTGCTTCTTGACTAGCATAGGCGTCGTCTTCGTTGCTTATGTGTCTAATGAAGAATGTAAAGCAAAGGTTGTCGCTGTCGAATGATGGCGCGCTCGTGTTGCGGAGGTGACGGTGACGGTGACGATGTAGTCAGTGAGAGGCGTCTGTGACATAGAGGTCCCTGGAAGTGCTGTTGCGCCACCGACCAAGCTGCTGGAAGATACGGTCCGGGATTCCTGCGTTTGCTGCCATGGTTGCTGCGCCTTTGCAAAAGGAGTGGGTTCCTAGATGGGTATCGTTAAGGCCGATCTTGGAGAACGCCTCGTTGCACCAGGTGCAAATGGTTGTGTAGGACGGAGAAGTGTCGTCCGCTGATGTTGAAGTGCGGCGACCGAAGACACGGATTAAAGGCCCTTGGGTGGAAGGTCCATAGCCCGCCAGCTGCATGAAGCGTTGGGTGCAACGCACTGGGCAGAATGGTCCTAGGTTTGTCGCCACGGGTATCCACATACCCCGACTCTCCTGGTCAGTTTAGGAATGCGGGATGAGAACCCACATGACGCTCTCCTCCAACTGAAAATCCTCCCAGCGGATTGCGACGAGGTCCGAGTATCGTAAGAATGCGGCGTACATTAGTAAGGGAATGAGTCCTTTCTGGAACTCCGTAGGATCCTCACTAGACAAGTAGGGTTGGGCCATGCTGTGGACTTGGTGAAGAGATACGGGTTCCTTGATAAGGGAAGGGCGGGGGCAATGCCGTTTGGCATAGTCCCGGACCTGGCTGGTGAATGGGCCTGAGACTGGGCAGGGGGCTCCAATCACGCGGTGTGCGAAAGTCACTGCTGCGCAGGAGAATTGTATCACGGACATCGTGGCTTTGCGTTCGATTGCATGCACCAAGTAGAGTGCGAATGTTGTGTCGGTTGTTGGTAGAAATGCCAGCTTGAACCGTTCGCAGAATGAGCGAAACTTTAGCCAATAGGGATCATACGTTCAGATTGTCGAGTCCGCCCGCACTTGGAGGGATATCTGGAGTAGTTGATGCTGGAGCCGGATCATAGTGCCTGTGTCATAGGAGCAAGGGGGTTCTCAAACTTTATTCAAATGAGACAAGGAGTGCGTGGATGGTGCTGTTAGGGAGGCGGAGGCCGGCGAATGCCGTTGTGTGAGTGCCTATACCTAGACATTGAGCACCGTTTGTGAGGCGGATGTGAGTGCGCACTTCCGGTGCCCAGTTTTTCGGCATTGAGTGGATACAGGGCCACCAAAAAGCACCGAGCCATTCCGGCACAAGCAAGGTAACCGTAGCGTCCGTTTGGCGAGCATGGTGTAGGAATGCCGGAATCAGTTGAGGAGGTGGAAAGGCAAAACCGCGTTCCCGGGTCCACGAAATGGAGAAGGCATTGACGGCGTGTGCCGCAGGGTGGGGAGCCTTCGTGCAAGAACGTGGGAGCTTGGCATTGGTGGCATTGGCAAAGAGATCGACGGCATGGGGCCCTAAGCGCCGTTCGAGGAGTCGAAACCATGGTTGCTTCAAGGTATAATCGTGATGGTGTTGTAGCTTCGACAAAGCATCCGCATGTGCGTTCAGTGACCTGGGCATCTATTCAATAGCAAGTCGAGTCTCGTGCTGCACACAAAAGTGGATGAGCGCGGGTGAGTTCTGCGCAGCAAGACCCGCCCTTGCGTATGATGAAGAACACCCCTTGGTTGTCGACCGTGACAAGAAGGTGCTTGCCATGTAAGTGCGCCTTGAACGCCTTGAAGGCCACACCCCGAATTACACAACGAAGTCCCATAAGGAGGTTCGGTGGGAAAATTGGGAATCAATCGTGTCAAAAACCCACTCAAAACCTTCGACCAATCACGTGAAAGTGGTGACAGTTTTGGGGCCGACACGGTAATTCTGGATGTGTCCTTTGAGGACCCAAAGAACCCCCTCGAGTTCGCTACAAGTGCTAGACGTTGTTAGCAGAGGTGCGGGCATATTTTTAGATGCCTCGATTGTAGAGCATGGGAAAGTTTCCAGCGTAGCCCCCCAACCGTGCACCCTCGCATCCACATGAAGCACAGTGGAGAAGTTGTGGAATGGTGCACCGTTGAAGCAATCAAACTCGGAGCGCCAAAAGTGCAGCTCATCCACTGCAGCTTGTGAAAGAGTCACCCGTTCGTGCCATGAGGATGCTTCGTTGATGGTTTCGAGCAGGCTGTGACTGAATGCTCGCGCCATCGTGCCCAAAGCGAGGGAAATGGATGCGAGCATGCCAGTCACTCGTGCGACTTGGCGAACAGGAATCGGTCGATGGGCTTGCCCCGCAGCTTTGAGGGAGTCCAAAGTCGCCCTTAGTTGTTTGCGGCGATCGTCGCCTACCGTGAAGGTGCACGTGGCGCTGTCCAATTCCAAGCCCAGAAACCGAAGGGACTACGCCGGGAAGAGATGCGACTATTTCCGGTTAATGACCAGTCCTGCACACCGCAGGTCGCCTATGACTGTGGAACAAGTTGTGTGCGCGTGTTCTCGACTATCGCATAGGAAGAGAATGTCTTCAACAAATGGGACGACTCGGACGCCTTGGGAGCGCCATCTAGCAACGAGTTGTTTGATGAGTTGGATGAAGATGTATGGGGCCGTTGCGAGACCAAATGGCAGAGACCGGAAGTAGTAGAAACGACCTTCGAACTGGAAATCGAGGAACTTCCAAAACGACGGGTGGATGTCCGCGTGATGGTGTCCAGATTTCAAGTCCACCGAGAACATCCAATCGCTTGGTTGTGCGAATTCTGCCACACGATGGAGACCTTTGTACTTTGGGGACCATGAGGTGTTGGTTGACGCGGCGCAAGTCCAAAATTAGCCGACATTTCTCGCGTTGTTCCATTACGTTGAGTGGGCTGATGCAAGTGAGCTCGTCAGTGGAACATGCTTCCACGGCTGCCCCGGAGCTCTTCTTCTTCTTCTTCTTCTTCTTCTTCTTCTTCTTCTTCTTCTTCTTCTTCTTCTTCTTCTTCTTCTTCTTCTTCTTCTTCTTCTTCTTCTTCTTCTTCTTCTTCTTCTTCTTCTTCTTCTTCTTCTTCTTCTTCTTCTTCTTCTTCTTCTTCTTCTTCTTCTTGTTCTTCTTAACGGGATCCGTAGATGGCAAGTAGTGCTCTCAAATGTCGCCCAATTTTCAAGGAAGTGGATTCTTCCTTCTAGTGCATCATAATGTGCAATAGGGGGGGGGGGGGGGGCAAGAGGTCTGAAAGTGCGAGGGTTGGTCCACGGCCAGCTCCCGTTCCCGGGTGCAACCATGGCGGCCCTTGTACTGGTTGCAAAAACTCTCGCGCCGAGTCGGCATCGTGCCGCTATGCAATTGTGCGGTGTTCCAACGAAGGGAAAGCATGCGAGTTCCATAAACAAACGGACGATGCCGTGCGCCACAGGTAGTGTTTTTTTTTTTTTTTTTTTTTTTTTTTTTTTTTTTTTTTTTACCCAACAATGCAACACGGGCTGCCCCGCTGGTGCAACCGTGTTCGCGAAGAAGGTGGCTTATAGGATTCTCCTTCGTGCTCAGAGCGAGTGGTGCCCTAATGCTTGGCAAGACTAGTATGAACTAGCTTGTGGCTGGCCCTCCACGGACTTTGATCGTGGATTCCTACGCGCTGATTGCTGGAGCTATCACATGGGTCATATTTGGGGTTGTCACGCACCACCCCAATGATCGTGCTCTGGTTTTTTTTTTTTTTTTTTTTTTTTTTCAGCCGGGAGCGAGAGCTCTCGTTATCATGAGACAATCACAATGACACACATTGTCCCCCCCCCTCCCCCCTTCCCCCCCATCCCTCCTCCCCCCCCTCTTGACACACAATGCTCTGTTTTATTTATTTTTTTTCATTATGTATGCATCAAGCAATGACATAACACACTTAAGGGCCACAAGGCCTACACACAGAAGCAATTTAAAGTGCCCCGCGCTCTCCCCTATGCTTGACAAAGCAAACGGGGAACCGTGGTTCCCGGACCCCTGGTCCCTATCCTTCCTAGGCTCGGCCCCCTGGCCTTGCACCCCCTGGTGCAGTCCCACCAGCCCCCGTACCCCCCAGGGTAGGGCTGCAAAGGGCATCATACTCAGGCCAAACAAGGCACTTCACACGACGGATGCCGGGCCTTGAGCCGAGGGGCAAGCACTCGCCATGTGCCCCACCTGCCCACAGCGGAAGCAAGAGCCCTTGAAGGTCCTGGTGCTGCACGCTGCGGGGACGGAGGCCTTCGTGTTGAAGGACGAAGCCTCGCGTGCGTGGCTTCGGCCGCCACGAGCATACGTGCCATAGGACCTCTTGGCCACCGCAACGTCCGCCGCTGCCTGTTTGAACGGGCGGGAT